GAAGTCAGAATCCCCGAGTAAAGTCCATTGAGCCGAGAAGTTCTTACTCGAGGCGGCGACTCATCCAGCGGACACAGCATCAACCTCCGCAAGGTTCTTGCGACAGCCCGATGTCTTCTCGGATAAATAAAGGAGGCAACTTATTATCATCATTATTATACCACGACCCGGCACAGACGGCAGAAACGCTGCGAGAATAACAACGGGGGGGGGGGGGGGTGGGGGGGTGGGGGGGTGGGGGGGGGTGGGGGGCAGCACGAGGGCTGCCAACTCGGGGGCCAGGGAGACGTCTGGGGTAGACGCACGTGGCGGTCAAACATCGGCGGTTTCTCCGACGAGGTTGCCCGGGGCGCGGCACGCGCGTCTGCGTTTTCCCGTCGCTGCAGCCGTCGTCGGCGCCACGAACCGAACGCGTGTAACCGGGAGCGCCATTCCGGCACGGCCGCTTGTTTTTTTTGCCTTTCGTTTCGTTTCGTTGTCCTTCCGATTGGCCAGGGGCGTTGGCTGCGTTGCGGTGCGAAAGAAGCTCGGCGTCCGTACGCGCGGCACAAAACCGGCGCCGGCGGCGTAGGCGTTCGCTCGTGGCGCGCCGGGGTTCGATCGCTCCACCTCGGGAAGCCGCGCGGGTGCCTGCGGTTCCATTGAAGAACCGTTGAGGTCGTGGCGTCGTTAACTAGGCTTAAATTCGACGCTCTGCGAAATGTAAACAATTCGAACGCGTGTTAAAACAGCCTCTCCCCTGGGAGAGAAGGCATTGTGACGGGGATGGATGGAGTGGCGCGTCACAGACCGGAGCGACTGTAGTTTTTTCACGCGAACAAAACAACATGCTTGACCGTGATGGGGGTTTTTTTTTTTCCGTCTTCAACGGTTCACTGGGTGCAGAGATCCACGTATATATATCTTGCACGTGGAACCATTTCAGTACAAATCGCTACAAAAAAAATACCGCGCCTGTCATTTTCGCTGTTGTTTTTTGTCAATTATACTTTAACATAAAAAATATACAGTATCGGAGTTCCAGTAGCTTTTGTGTTTTTTTTTAAATAAGCTTTTAGCATCGATATGGCCAACAACTAATTTAGTTTCTTACGCCCACCGCTTTATCCGGAAAATAAAAGCGCGAACACAACATTCAAACAACTTATCGCTATCGTCAACAGCCGCAATTTTAAATTAATATAATTTAAGCTATTTACACACAGACAGCACATCTTAAAATGACGCCGATTGCGAACTGCTATTCCCGTTAACGTAAAAATAAAACCCCCCCCGAACGTCGCGCGACATCGGTACTCGCGAAAAACAACAATCGCATGCAGTGTGAAACCTTGCATGCGATAATGGAGATGGCTGCTATTAAAGTTTCCACACAATAAGCCACGAATCCGCCAACCCGAGTTCGATTGATTGTTTCAAATTGCCACGGTGGCGAGATGTTAACAACCTTGCGGGGTATACAGGTTGTGGTTCCGAACCCAATCCTGACGCCTGTATATTTAGAGTTTGCATGGCTCTTTCCCCGTGGTGGTCATGTGGATTTTTGTCCGGGTCCTCCGGTTTTTCCCTCCCCGTTTAGAATCATTTCCACGCGATAAGCCACTTCGTTGGGCTACCATTTGTGGCCAGGTCACTTCTGAAAAAGAGCTGTATAGCTCACGTGGGCCTTACCTGGTAAAACAGTTTTAGTTTTAGGGTTTTCTGCACGGTTCACCAACCACGGACACGAGCACCGTACACTGCAGCGACAAGTGAGCCGAGAACCTCCCGCAGTTAACCCTCCAATCAGCGCGTGGGCACGGTCACCAAATCCTCTACTCCACTGATGCGCAGCCGAGCCGAGCCGTGCCGTGGACGTACCGAGCCAAGCCGGCGAGGGAGAGACCACCGGACAGACTTTTTTCCCCACTGCAGAAGCAGAGCCGCGCCATGTCGCCCGATGTCACGCGCAACGAAAGAGCCGAGACGCCGACAACAACTTTCCTCTGCGAGGCACTAAATCACGTGACCCGAGCGTCTCGAAATACGCATGCGGGTGACACGGCTGATGTCACAATCGACAAAATCCCTTGGCCCCACCCTCGGGCCTGCTGGGCTCTGATACCCGACTCGGACGCCTTGTGAGGCCACCGTGAACGCGGTTTGCCTCTGGCAAAATAGCCGGTGGAAAAGCCACCACGGGGGCCGCCCTGGGGCCCTGAGGGCACAAGCGGTGGCGTGGCTGGCGACACGTGGCCGGTGAGAAAAAACTGGGCATCACTGGACTCGGAACAGCGAGACGGAGATACCGATTCGGCACGCACACGCAAAGACCCGTGCACGCACACACAAAGACCCGTACACGCACACACAAAGACCCGTGCACGCACACGCAAAGACCCGTGCACGCACACACAAAGACCCGTACACGCACACACAAAGACGCGTGCACGCGTATCTTTCAACATCGTAAATTTTTACATAAAAAAACCACACACACATGCAGAAGCTCAGTTCAAAGCTCTGTCCCTGAAGTGCAATTAGCATCAATCGCTCAGCTTAAGAGCCGAGCATAAATGTTCACACCACACGCCAAAGTCGGCTACAACACAATACTTTCTCATAAACGAAGACAAAAATATATATATATTAATGAATAACAGGAAAATGCTTTCCAGGAAAATTAATTAAGGCTCGGCTGTATAATAAGGCTAGGTAATTTCTTTTCAAACCAACGGTAAGAGGCGAGATTATACAAAGTTATCAGTTTACGGATACCCCATGTCGGAATATTGTGACAGCGGATGGCTATGTTTGACAAAGCGTACGAGTGGTGCGCTAAGATTTTACACAAGTGCACCGTGGTTGCCGGGGAGACGCGTACAGGCTTTGGAAATTAAAAAGATGCTCTCTCCCAATAATTTCTCGCCAACTAATTTGTTGGGGCGCCTGCGAGCGGGCTCACACCTTCGTTGTGCGTGTTTGCGTGCGGGCGTGCGGGCGGGCGGGCGATGCCGGAAGACGTCCGTCCAATTGAATGGTCGCGAGACTGAACGAGTTTTCGGAACGAAAACGCAACGGTTGCGATGGATTAATGGGACGGGGTTCATCGCCCCCCGGTTTGCAGCCACACTCTTCGTTAACAAGAACCACGCTTTAAAAACCGGAGTGCACAGAGAGAGCGGGGGGGGGGGGGGGGGGGGTGGGGGGGGGGAGGCTTGCAAGCGATCATATGCTTTTTGTATTTTCAGATGCGATTCTGCGGCCGTCTGGAACGCTCTTCCTTCCGATGTTAGAAAGCCACCGGGAGCAATGCATTTTAAAATCTAAAATAAAAATGCATTTTTTTAAGAACGCCTTTTTTGTGTTTAGTTTTCCTTCCCCCCGCACCTCCGTTTAGCACGGTTGGCTACATACGGTGCGAGAAAAGAAGTTAAACATACACATACATCCATGTGGGCACGTAGAATTGGGCGAATGCCAAATGTACCAATTCATTATAACAATTATTATTGTTGCTCAATTGGAACGAACATAGCAAGCACTGCCAACCCCAGCCCCCTAAGTGCACAAAATCTTGCAGGACTCTCACAAAATAAATCATTATTGTTAAACAAGCATAAATATATCATCTATAAAAGTGTAAGCACCATGCGGCTACGTTGCACGGTCGAGGGGCGGGCACTTTTAAAATGATTCGATCTTTCAAATCACGTAAACTGTAAACTAATTTCTTTAAAACCGCTTGTTTGTCTTTAGTTTGTGGTCTTTTCCCCCGCTCACCTCCGATTGGCACGGTCGAAACCGTACGCAGCCAACCGTGCCTCTCTCTCTCTCTCCCGCAGCGCTCGCTGGCTGTCGTCCACAGGAAGGTGCGGTGCGCGCGCCCCTTAGGCGACCCCGTCGCTGGCTCCACCATCAACATACGTAACTGCGCATACGTGCACCAGCCGACGATTGAAGGCGAGCGTCACCGACCGGCGACGCGATCCGACCGCGCAGGGCGGTGGTGTTGGCAGCGCCGGTTACACTGGCCGCCACGGTTCGTCTGTGGCCGTCCCGCGGCTACCGTGTGTTAGAACGGAAAGCGTTACCGAATTCTCCCGTGGCGACTGCCAAAACATTGCAGTACGTGTAAACGACGCGATATTTAAGAACGAAAATACAAATATTATTTTCGTCGTAAATTCGAACATACCACCGCAGATGAAACTGTGGCAATGATTCTGTTTTGTCCCCCACCCCCCCCCCCCCCATTCCAGTTTTAAAAATAATCTAACCCAAGTAATTTACACGCAGCCACCATTGGACTACGAATCCATCAACCGTCACTCTTCCATCGCGTCCCCTACTTACCAACACATGAACATGAACACGCGTTCATCACTTGCTGTAAAAAATAAAAATCGTTCATCTGACAGCTATTGCAGAGGGTGCCAGGCGGCACGGGAGGCCGCAGTACCAAGTGCTCATCAGTGCGCCGAGCGACGACCGGAGTGGTGACGCAGAGAGAGGGCGCCGGCGGGATGGGGAAAGTTACAAAACCACAACATTTACACAGTGGACATGCTCACTAAAAATTGTGGTAAAAACACGAAAATACTCGGGTTTCAAACGCGGCCAGGTCGTACGATTCGCTCAATCGTGAAACTGTCGAAGGACCGAGCCGCGTGTCTGCCAGCGCAGCTTGCGTTCTTGTTCACGGTCAGAATGCTCCGTCGTCCGTTTAGCTTCCATAATGCCACAATGCCGCGCACGTACGACAGACACGCAAAATTGCAGTGGCGTGTTTGATATCCCCTTCACGCGCATGTTGTGCGTTGTGCGCGCGTGGAGTGCGCGTGGAGCGGTAGTGCAGCGGTGAGCAACACCGGCGACGATTACGCGATCAGGTCCTGGGCCTCCCCCTAGGTCGACTCAGCCGAAAATGTAGCACCTGGTGAGGTGTGTAAAAACATCGCCACACTGGGGAGGCAAAGGAGGCCCAGGCTTGGTGCTGGCCACCCACTTACCCCCCCCCCCCCCAGCGTTCACAGGTGCTGCTCGCTAACAGCACTTTCCCCAACAGTCTCTTAAGGCTACACACGGGGGGGGGGGGACCTCTGTATTTGTTTTGCGTGCGTGCGACCGCACGTGCATTCAGTGGATGGGTCCACGCGTTTTCGCAAGGCGGTGACACAGATTCTCCCGGGACTCGGAGACCCCCCCCCCCCAGGGGTGTCATACGTTAGTGCTCGCCGTGTTCTGATCTTGCTGCCTTTGCCGCAGCAACTTATTCCGTATCGAGTCAGTCGGACCTGCAACAAACAAAGGGTTCAAGTGTTTATCCAACACGACCATCGAGCAGCAATGCAGTAACCCTACGCCCCATCATTACATTACATTATTTGCAATGCCACCATTACCACAAGTCATTAATATGACCGCAACCGTACGCAGCCAACCGTGGCTAACCCGAGGGTGTTACCCACTGGACGTCTGCTTCTGCTGCTGCTGCTGCTGCCGCGATGCGCCCTTGGCGTCCTTCGCCACTCGCGCCCCGTCCACCTCGGACGACCCCGGCCCGCCGGCGTTCTCGCCGCCGCCCCGCCTCGACATCTCGAAGCCCGCCAGGATGGTCATGGTGTCCACCAGCGTGTCCACGTCGTAGGCGCTGGGCACCGGGCGCACGCTGCGGAACACCAGCAGGCGCTTGTACGACTTCAGCTCGTGGACGTTGGCGCCGAGGAAGAGGAGGATGACCGACAGGTCGCTGGGCAGGCAGCGGCAGGCGCCGGCGCGCGACGCGCCGGCGCCCCGCCCGCCGAGCACCTCAAACGACGGCAGCATCTCGTAGACGTCGAGGAAGCTCTGGTTGGGCCGCCAGAGGCGAGCGACGTTGTAGAAGACGAGGGCGGACGCGAGGGCGTACACCGAGATGTTGATGAGGCTGAGCACGTAGAAGACTCGCACCGACGTCAGCTTGCACTGGATGAGGCCCGGGATGAGGCTGTCGTTGGCCAGCAGGCCCGTCTTGATGTTGCAGCTGAACTCGTCGAGGACGGAGGCGACGGCGTGGTAGAAGCCCAGGTAGAGGCACGACAGCAGCATGAGCAGCAGCACGAGGAGGTTGCGTGCGACGTAGCGCCACAGGAGCTCCCGCGTGTCGCGCTTGCAAGCCAGGTACTTCTCCAGCAGCGGGAACTCAAAGTAGTTCTCGCGGCGAGCCCTACGCGTTGGGGGGGGGGGGGGACGACGTGGCGGTAAGCGAGACGGAGACAGGCGGACAGACGGGCGCTTTGTTGTCCGAACATCCCCACCCCCCTTAACACGTAGGCTTTCGCTACCAATGTCATGCATAATTTTTTTGGGTTAGATCGCATAAATATATAAATGTGTGTCGTTAAACCCGCCACCACCCGACACAGCCAACTAGTGAGGGTTGTCACGTAAACAGAACGTGGCCAATTCGTCACTAGTACAGGACTAACCGGTGTGTTGGGGAGCCAAGCCACAACATTTACAATCCGAGTACGATGTTTCGCCAGTAATTACCACCAGCTTCATCAGGCGACATCCATCTCTGTTATGGAGGTAAACAAATTATTTGGCTCGCGCTGCATCGTCGGCAGTGGTGCGCAAAGCACAAATATCAACAACAACAAAATGTAAACGCGTTTGTTGGTCATCTGGGTGTAAAACTTGCTGAACCCCACCAATACTGGACATCTGTGAACAAAAAGCTTCAAGGCTCGTCGAATTCCTCCCGCAGACCAAATAAAGATTCTGATTCCGATTCACTCGCTCGGCAGCGGCTCCTCCATCCCGCTGCCTCGTACGTGTCCACCTCGCCCCCTTCTGGCCGACTCCGTAAGTATCCACCTCGCCCCCTTCTGGCCGACTCCGTAAGTGTCCACCTCGCCCCATTCTGGGAGACTCCGTACGTGTCCACCTCGCCCCCTTCTGGCCGACTCCGTAAGTGTCCACCTCGCCCCCTTCTGGCCGACTCCGTAAGTGTCCACCTCGCCACCCTTCTGGGAGACTCCGTACGTGTCCACCTCGCCCCCTTCTGGCCGACTCCGTAAGTGTCCACCTCGCCCCCCTTCTGGCCGACCCCGCCCGTCTCCGAAGCACCGCGCGCCTCCCCGACATCGCCTCGTGCCACGAGAACATGCCCATTACCAAATGCAGTGATTTTTTTTGTTGTTGTTAATTCTTCATCACCATCGTTCTTATCTCCGTCACCGTCACGCGACGAGCAGGCGCTCCCGCGTCACCCCCGCGCCCCCTTCCCCCCCCTCCCCCCCCCCCCCCCCCCCAAGCGTCGTACCGGTCCACCTCGTCGTAGAAGAGATTGTTGGCGTCGCCGGAGCGGGGGCAGCGCTGGACGATGTGCTGCGCAAGGCGCACGCTGCGGTTGTAGCTCTTGTCCAGCTCCTCCATGATGAAGACGAGGTCGGACGAGAGCAGGGGCACCATGGCAAAGCGCCAGAACAGCGCAGGTACGTACATGGAAACGGCGATGAGCAGCAGCGCGTAGGGGAACATCTGCGCCGAGACCAACAACAAACAACAACAGCCGGCCGATCGCCACGGCGACGTCAACGCGGCGCCTGCGTGCCAGGCTACGTTCACCACCACCACCCCCCCATCCGCCCCCAACCGCACCTCGGAGTAGCACGGTTGGCTATGCACGGTGCGAAATAAGTTCAACATACATACATGAAGCCACGTGAAGTATCGGCGGCTCGCTGCTGAAGCAATAGCCAATTGGCACATTTTGTTCACGTGACAAACCTTGCTCATCAGCTGTGTCGGGTGGTGATGCCGTGTTAACGGACACATTTACGCGCTGTGACCCAAAAACTTTTTTTTTTTTTTACGAATCGTTCCACTTTCCTTGTTAATCCATCCCCATTCCCATCGATCCCAAACACGTGACCGCTAACTTGCACCTCCCGGCCTCCAGTTCTACTCAATTTATAATTCCTCGTTAATCGGCTTTCACGATGGAGAATCAAAAATTCGTTCGGTGATCCTGCTGCGTGGCCTCCACCCGCGGATTCTCGGCGGTCGCTGTCGCACCGTGCCACTCGGCCACCCCGACTTCGATGGAATATCAACGCCGGCTTTTGCGTGCCGCTAGCGGCGTGGACGTTGAACATTTAAGGCAGCGCGACGGCAGACTTGACGATGCGCCGAGTTCACGTCGGTGCCCAGGGAGCCGTGGGGAACTCCCCCACGTGGGGGAACTCCCCCACGTGGGGGAACTCCCCCGCGTGGCCCCGTAGCGGCAGGGCACGCGGAGCGCAAAGCGGCGGCGACGATGATCCGCAGCGGCAGGGCAGCGGCTCAGACTAGCCACGGCGAACCCAAACCCACGGTGGTAATGGTGAGGCTGCCTGCTCAGGCCGCCTGGTAACGTCTGCTTCGATGGTAACGTCTGTTCTGATGGTGACGTCTGCTCCGATGGTAACGTCTGTTCTGATGGTAACGTCTGTTCTGATGGTAACGTCTGTTCCGATGGTAACGTCTGTTCTGATGGTAACGTCTGCTCTGATGGTAGCGTCTGTTCCGATGGTAATGTCTGTTCTGATGGTAACGTCTGCTCTGATGGTAGCGTCTGTTCTGATGGTAACGTCTGTTCTGATGGTAACGTCTGTTCTGATGGTAACGTCTGCTCTGATGGTAGCGTCTGTTCCGATGGTAACGTCTGTTCTGATGGTAACGTCTGTTCTGATGGTAACGTCTGCTCTGATGGTAACGTCTGTTCTGATGGTAACGTCTGCTCTGATGGTAGCGTCTGTTCTGATGGTGACGTCTGTTCTGATTGTAGCGTCTGCTCTGATGGTAACGTCTGTTCTGATGGTAACGTCTGTTCTGATGGTAACGTCTGTTCTGATGGTAACGTCTGTTCTGATGGTAACGTCTGCTCTGATGGTAACGTCTGTTCTGATGGTAACGTCTGCTCTGATGATAACGTCTGTTCTGATGGTGACGTCTGCTTCGATGGTAACGTCTGTTCTGATGGTAACGTCTGCTCTGATGGTAGCGTCTGTTCTGATGGTGACGTCTGCTTCGATGGTAACGTCTGCTCTGATGGTAACGTCTGTTCTGATGGTAACGTCTGTTCTGATGGTAACGTCTGCTCTGATGGTAACGTCTGTTCTGATGGTAACGTCTGTTCTGATGGTAACGTCTGTTCTGATGGTAACGTCTGCTCTGATGGTAGCGTCTGTTCTGATGGTAACGTCTGTTCTGATGGTAACGTCTGTTCTGATGGTAACGTCTGCTCTGATGGTAACGTCTGTTCTGATGGTAACGTCTGCTCTGATGGTAGCGTCTGTTCTGATGGTGACGTCTGTTCTGATGGTAGCGTCTGCTCTGATGGTAACGTCTGTTCTGATAGTAACGTCTGTTCTGATGGTAACGTCTGTTCTGATGGTAACGTCTGTTCTGATGGTAACGTCTGTTCTGATGGTAACGTCTGCTCTGATGGTAACGTCTGTTCTGATGGTAACGTCTGCTCTGATGATAACGTCTGTTCTGATGGTGACGTCTGCTTCGATGGTAACGTCTGTTCTGATGGTAACGTCTGCTCTGATGGTAGCGTCTGTTCTGATGGTGACGTCTGCTTCGATGGTAACGTCTGCTCTGATGGTAACGTCTGTTCTGATGGTAACGTCTGTTCTGATGGTAACGTCTGCTCTGATGGTAACGTCTGCTCTGATGGTAACGTCTGCTCTGATGGTAACGTCTGCTCTGATGGTGACGTCTGTTCTGATGGTAACGTCTGTTCTGATGGTAACGTCTGCTCTGATGGTAACGTCTGCTCTGATGGTAACGTCTGCTCTGATGGTAACGTCTGCTCTGATGGTAACGTCTGCTCTGATGGTGACGTCTGTTCTGATGGTAACGTCTGTGCTGATGGTAACGTCTGCTCTGATGGTGACGTCTGCTTCGATGGTAGCGTCTGTTCTGATGGTAACGTCTGCTCTGATGGTAGCGTCTGTTCTGATGGTAACGTCTGCTCTGATGGTAACGTCTGCTCTGATGGTAACGTCTGCTCTGATGGTGACGTCTGTTCTGATGGTAACGTCTGTTCTGATGGTAACGTCTGCTCTGATGGTAACGTCTGCTCTGATGGTAACGTCTGCTCTGATGGTAACGTCTGCTCTGATGGTAACGTCTGCTCTGATGGTAACGTCTGCTCTGATGGTGACGTCTGTTCTGATGGTAACGTCTGTGCTGATGGTAACGTCTGCTCTGATGGTGACGTCTGCTTCGATGGTAGCGTCTGTTCTGATGGTAACGTCTGCTCTGATGGTAACGTCTGCTCTGATGGTAACGTCTGCTCTGATGGTAACGTCTGCTCTGATGGTAACGTCTGTTCTGATGGTAACGTCTGCTCTGATGGTAACGTCTGCTCTGATGGTAACGTCTGCTCTGATGGTAACGTCTGCTCTGATGGTAACGTCTGCTCTGATGGTAACGTCTGCTCTGATGGTAACGTCTGCTCTGGCCGCCTGGTAACGTCTGTTCTGATGGTAACGTCTGCTCCGATGGTAACGTCTGCTCCGATGGTAACGTCTGCTCTGATGGTAACGTCTGCTCTGGCCGCCTGGTAACGTCTGCAGGGCATAACAAAAGCAAATCGTCTTCTGTGTAGGGCTGATGTGGATGGACAACAACAGCTATTATTTTACATTGTGGTGGCTGAGTCAAGTAACTGCTACGGAGTGCCACCGCAAAGTACTGGGCAGACTCCAGCTTGTTCAAAATGCAGCTGCTAGAGTGCTTACACCACGTACACCAATCCGAGAGCACATGACACCAGGTCCTCTCATCTCTTCATTGGCTACCGGTCAAATTCCGTGTGGATTTTATGATAATGCCATGAACCTGTAAGGCTTTAGAAGGTCTCACCCCACATTACTTTCAGGAACCAATATATATTCCTTAAGATCTTCTGATCTCCAACCGCTCAGCACTCCCAGGTCTACAGGTTTCGCTCTTTTGGTGATCGCGGCTTTTGTTAGCGTGGCACCCAAGCAATGGAACGCCTCGCCACTTGAAATCAGGGCAATCGGAGTAGGTAGATATATTTAAGTCTGCTTTGAAAAACCCTTCTCTTTAAACTGGCTTTCCCTCTTTAGTTTGCGCATTGGAATCCTGGAATGCGCATTATACATTTGAATTATTATTCTTACTGCTTTATCCATATAATGTTACCTTGTAAGGCAGTGTTATTGACGAATGTGTTGACTCTTTTGTGTGCTAGTCGTTGGAATAAAAAGGGACATTTGAACTCCAGTGACATTGCCAAAATGAATCTAACCGGCCAAGATCTCCCCTTTGCCCAAGCACAAAACTACTTGCAGGGCTAATAAAGTCCAAACGATAGCAAGCGAGCAAGTTCATTTCCTTTGGCAACAGACAAAAACATTGCAAAAATGAACATGCATGCCGAAGGCTTTGTTTGCCTGCCTATGTGCAGGTTACCTCGCGTGAAGATAGAGAACAACCTTGCTTGAGTCACGCTTACTCAGCCTCTAAAGGGTTTCCCGAACATCGAGCTCCGGGGCAAAACAACGTCGAGTTGGGGTGGGGAGTCGCGGAAAAAAACCACGCAGCACGGGCGCCGGCCATTACGAGCGCACGAGCGCCTCCCTGCCGAGTCTCCATCAATCTTTTAAAGCACCGTCGGCCATCGGGACCATAATCCCCTTCTTACCTCCACCCCCCCGCCCCCCCCCCCCCCCCCCCCGGTGGTGTGGTTCCTTCGCGCCGGAATGGATTACCGTGGATTTTCAGTAGCCCCCCCCGTTACCGGAATCTCTCTACGTGTGTGTATCGGGGTTCTTTGTAAAAAAAAAAAAAACATCATCGGCCATGATCAATCCACTGCTGGATGATGAAGGCCCCCCTCACCGCCCCCCTCACCACCCCCCACCAACGCACTCACCGCAATGTCACGCAGTCTCCCAAGATATCGTTTTGTTTGGGTTAGATCGCGCAGATATAAACGCTACTAATTGACAGCCAATCAGTAGCGTTTATCACGTAAGCAGAACAGGGGACGACCCGCGACACGAGTAGCCTGCGCACCCACAAAGAAGTTCAATCTACAGACCCACGACCTCGGCCAGTCTCCTGCCCCGACTGGCAGCCCTTGTGCAACGTTCTGAAGGATGAGACGACGTCGGAACAAACGCGAGTGCCGCCCTCTCGTGCATCCAGAAAGAACTGCGGATCACCCCCCCCCCCCCAAACTCCCACGGTCAGAAAATGAAACTAATCCATGAAAAGGACATGCTTTATTTTTGCCAGGTAAGTCATTGAGCCATGAAGCTCTGTCTCAGAAGCGGCGTGGCCACAGATGACAGCTCAACGAAGGAAGTAGCTCATCTTTTTGAAAATCTATGGCAGCCAAATATTTTAAACGCGTGACATTGATTCTAAACGTGGAGGGGGGGAAAAACCGGAGGACGCTGAGAAAGATCCACGCGAACACGAGGTGAACATGCAAACTGCAAATATATCAGCTTCAGGGTCGGGGTCGAACCGACAACCTCCTGCATACCAAGTGAGGGAGTTCACATTTCGCGACCACAACGACCATTAACAAACAGGCACACTGCTCAAGCAGAACAGAAATGAACTGGATAATGATTTGAATGCTTTGAGGGAGGAGTGTGGCGGTTTGTTTATCTGAGGCAGCCTATGATAAAAGCTGGAGTGTGCAGTGGTAACGTCCTCCTTCTCCCCACGGAAGCCGTCAAAGCATGAACTAACCCACGTGGGGGGGGGGGGGGGCTGCATGGACGCACGGGGGGCTCCATACCTTGTGCAGAAAGGGCGTGAACAAAACATGGGCCCCATCGTCATTCTTAACTTGCCAGGGCAGGGACGCCCAACAGCACGCGTCCACATAGGAGCCTTGCGGACGCGTGAATGCAACGGGTGGATAGCAGCTGATCTTCGAGCCTACTCGACACGGGATGTGGTGGGGGTGGAGGGGGTGGGGAGGGTGCACGAGCCAAGCACGGGAATGGACAGGTGCAGGAGGGCGGTGGTGGGGGGGGGGGGGGGGGCCGGGGGAGAGGCGATTGTGGTGGGGATGGGGAGGGAACACACACTGATGCGGGTGGAGCGGGTGGATGGGTGGGTTGGGTGGATGGGTTGGTCGGTCGGTGGTTTGGTGGATGAGTGGGTTAGTGGATGGGTGGGTTGGTTGGTCGGTGGGTTGGTGGATGGGTGGGTTGGTGGATGGGTGGGTTAGTGGATGGGTGGTTGGGTGGTTTGGTGGATGGGTGGGTTGGTGGATGGGTGTGTTGGTGGCTGGGTGGGTTGGTGGATGGGTGGGTTTGTGGATGGGTGGGTTTGTGGATGGGTGGGTTGGTGGATGGGTGGGTTGGTGGATGGGTGGGTTGGTGGATGGGTGGGTTGGTCGGTCGGTGGGTTGGTGGATGGGTGGATGCGTGGTTTGGTGGATGGGTGGGTTGGTGGATGGGTGGGTTGGTGGATGGGTGTGTTGGTGGCTGGGTGGGTTGGTGGATGGGTGGGTTTGTGGATGGGTGGGTTTGTGGATGGGTGGGTTGGTGGATGGGTGGGTTGGTGGATGGGTGGGTTGGTGGATGGGTGGGTTGGTCGGTCGGTGGGTTGGTGGATGGGTGGATGCGTGGTTTGGTGGATGGGTGGGTTGGTGGATGGGTGGGTTGGTGGATGGGTGGGTTGGTCGGTCGGTGGTTTGGTGGATGGGTGGGTTGGTGGATGGGTGGGTTGGTGGATGGGTGGTTTGTCCGGGCGGGTTTGGTGGCAATGGACATGAGCGATGCGTGGGGGAAGGGGGCAATGGCAGGAGGGGCGGGGTGGGGCGGGGGGGGGGGGAGGCGGAAAACACACAACAGCACACCACAGCGCAACACACGTGAGTGGCCACCACGCGCGTGGGCGGGCGGCGCGCTCTCAGATACCTTGTGTATCCACAGTGACTGTTGGTGCGGAGTCCCGTCAGGCTCGGTGCCATGGTGGAGCAGTGACGCCCAACAAAACGCATCGGCGTAGATCGCCTGCCGCCATGAGAAGTTTGCTGGGGGAAAGCAGCTGATCTGAGTGCCTGACGGTGATGGGGGTGGGGAGAGAGGGCGAGGCATGCACATGGTGGGGAGTGGGGGGGGAAGGGGGACAGAGAGAGAGAGGAGAGGAGAGGGGCGATACAGCTGTGCCCCCTCTTGCAGTCATCATCCATGACCTACCTACGAGTTCAAATTTGGCGACCCGCGAAATTTGCGACAAAATCGACGGGCGGGCTGGCGGACGGCCTGCGAGCGGCCGGTGGGGCACCGTGGCGCGCGAGTCAGTCGGGTTTACGCTGCTGTCGAGCGCGAGCTGTGGGCCCCGTTGGCGACAACTGGAAACCGAGCGCCGCGCGGGGGCAATGTGTTCGTAGGAACAGGGATGAGAAAAACGCCCGATGCTGTCGCGACCCAGAAACGGAAGTGCCACCGAGAGTCCAGCGTGTGGGTAAAGATCGGGGAAGGCGGTGGGGTGGGGCGAGAACGTGACTGGATGGCGTCGACCGCTTTCGGTGCACGCGTAGCCGGCGAGCTGTGAACATACGAATGTTCGCCAACGTCGTGAGAACATTTTATTTATTACGTGCGTTATTGCGGAAATGAATTCACCTTTACAGGACGTACAGGTTATTAATTTCCCGCTGCAGCCCCCAAAAGTGTTTTGGTGAAAATGCCACGATTAATTCGATTCAGCGGTGCACAAATAACGACGCGTCCTTTATCCCTCACGCGCAACAAAACTCACACCGAGGGTAATCCGAAGCGATGTCATGCGCACTGGTTGACGAGAGTTTGATGTGCGGAAAAAAAAACTCAAATTAAAATCATAAGGTCACATACCCGACAAGCAATTCTTGAAGAATGTACTGCGTGCGCGAACAAATTACCGATGCTAATAATGATTTGTTTTTGATAGAGCAGCCTTTCACGCCGGGGCGTCTCAGCGAGCGCTTTACACGCGATAATCGACTTGCATCACATCTCAAAACATTTTAAAGGGCACCACCAGGGGGTAGCCATCCCCGTGGCCACGAGCATCAGCCCCGCCGGTAAGGGGCGACGTTTGCCGCTGTGTGTGGTCCCACTTGGGTGGTAGGGTTCGGTGACTGTACGGGAGGATTGGGCTGCGGTTATATCGGCACACTAAATATAAAATGGTAACATCAAGGTGAAACGAAGGGCCGGGAATCGCAGCCGCGACGCCTGGACAGAGTTTCTTCACGACGGCCGCGGGCGACAGCCGCCGACGCACCGTTAAAAAAGCCACCGCCAATTGCGTCGATCGCTCTCCGGAGGCGGAAGCTGTTTGTCGACGAAGCGTTGCGCGATTTTAATCAACGGTGACTACGACGAGTGGACGGAAGGTCGTTGGGCGCGACAAAATCGTCGGGTCGGAGTGAACGCGCCCACCCGACGTGATTGAGCAGCGTCACCGGGAGACCCCAGCGCACCGAGGAAGGCCAAACGTGGCTACTGGCCGTCTATCTACAGGGTCGTCCATGTGCCCCGCCCCGTGACCCACATTTAATTTCATTCTCTAAAACTTTAGATGTTTTAAGTAAGGTTTAATTTGAACAAAAATTAATATGCAAAGGAATAAAAACATGTTATGGGCCAATAAAATTGGGGTGGGGGGAGGGGGGGCGGTCACAAGCCACCTGGACCACCTTGTACACAAAAATATTTACCGCGTTCACCAACTGGCTGAGCAGACAACTCTTTCCTTATTTCACCAGATGAGGCCCACTGCTGTATTGGGCCAGTGGGGAGAATTGATGCCGGCTATCACAACACCAACACTCGATAACCAAGAGATAATTTCATTATATTTCACCCGTGTATAATTTCGTACAGTTCTGCCTTCATACCGAACGGCTCGTTTAACCGCGGCTGGCGTGCACAGCGGGAGACGGCGAGGTGTGTGTGTGTGTGTGTAGGAATGTCGAGACGACAGCTCGTGGCCCAGCCGGCCGGACCGAACCCATCCTGCTCAGCTCAGACAAGCGCCTTGCCAAACCTGCTCGGGAAGAACAGCAGGCGCTCCAGTGACGCCCTTATATTCACCAATTCACTTTTTTCCCCCCCGATCGCTCCCCTCACTTTCCATGCAATAAATAAATAGATGTCAAGACGTTGCCAAGCATCTCGTCCACGGCGTCCGGCCGGCTCGGCACGGCAGAGAAGACATGAACTGAACAATCTCTGTGGACTCGAGTGGGCTGGCTGCTACAACTGTGCTGACTGAGAACCTACGTACGTACTTCCATGTTGAACTTATTTTGCACCGTATGTAGCCAACCGTGCTAATCGGAGATGCGGTGTTGAGTCTATGGGCAGTGTTGAGTCCATGGGCATTGTTAGTCTACGGGCAGTATGTACGTATGTTGAACTTCTTTCGCACCTTACGTAAACAACGGTGTGCAAAACCGGAGGTGACCAGCACACAAGTTGGGGGGTTGCCACCTGCCCTGTTTTTTTTCTTCCCAGGACCGTCCCTCGTCGTAGCGTTTGGCTGTCCTGTAAACATTTGTAGGACTTTAAAAGTCCCGGAGGGGAGGGATGATGCACGCGTATAATCCCGTTTTACACACTTGCACACACAATGTGCACGTTTGGGGTGTAACTAATCACCCCAAAGCCCTCCTCGTAACTCAACCGAGCCCTTTGCAAATCTGGGGCCATGATTCAAATAAAGAGTCAATTCATTCTTTGAACAGTGGTCAAAATATAAAATAAATGCTGACAAACTACGGCCGCTTCCCATGCCTGCCGCGTGATTCCTATGTTGTACTCGTGGAGCGGAGACGGGGAGGGGGGGGGACTTGCATCTTGTGACTCGTAGAATAAAAATATATAGAATAGAGTCATGCCTCTTACACCAGAGCTTTGCCATGAAAAAAATCAAGTCAAGCCTCTTCTGGATGCAAGCCTCCGCCAAGTGCACAGCTTGCTTGGCTTTCACTTCCTTCTTCCGTCTGCTGCCCTCAATCTTGATCGGCCGGAAGCAACCGCTAAACAAAAGTGGTGACTCACAACTTAAAACAATTTTTTTTTAACTGGCACAACAATCCACAACGGTTGTGAAGGCTGACGCTTCAATGTAATAGGGGAAGTGAAACAACACTCGGGAACCGCGGGTGTGGATTCCGTTTCACCGTTGCGTTTTTAAATCGCTGGCACATTCAGTTGTCGAGTAAACCGTGTAAAGGTGCAGCACAGTTGGCTAAGTGCGGTGGGAAAGAAGTTCAACATACATACATACATGGGGAGTGTCTTTCCTTAGCAAAGGAGGAAAAAGCGGTGTTCACCTTCATCGGTGGGAATGAGCCCGTGGGTGCGGGATATGTTGTGTCTATCGTTCCTGTCCAGGAGGCTGTCACCAAGTCACCCGGAATGCCCCCGGATCGCGTCAGACCTCAGAAGCTAAGCGGTTCTGAGCCTGGGTAGCGGAGGGATGGGTTTAACGCGATGCATGACGGGCGTCACGGGGCTGCGGAACAACGTCGCGGGCAGGAGAGGAAAGTGCAGAGTAATCAATTCTGGCACCAAGTACAGTCCAATCACCACCCACACCCTGCCCTGTAACCTGCATTGTGTGCGGTGGGGGGGTCCCTTTTCCTGCAGTAGATTGACAAATGCCTACATTTGAAAATCATTATTCATAATTTAAATGCAGAAAAGCCACCGTTGAAGTCGTAGGATAGAAAACCAGCGTGCACATCACGGGACAACAATGACTGGACTCGTGTACAACCACGTGCCTGGCAGCGGGGGATTTTGAGCAAACCGCACACTCTGCCCACGGCCGATGGTCAATCACAGTGGTGGAGTGGCAGCCAAAGAGAGGAACAAGTCAAGGCAGTAACGCCCACACAAGGGGAAGGAGCAGTGAACACATCATAGGGTCACGCTCATTCCATGCAAAGTGTTTGCCACGAAACCTTTCCTGTCTCGTCAGGGAGCACAAGCCATCACGCAAACTTTTGGCGAGCCATCGAACAGACCGTCGCTGCAGATGCGCTTCTGCGGCCTTCTGGAACGCTCTTCCTTCTAATATTAGGAAGCGACTGGAGCTATGCCCTTTTAAATCTAAATCTCATTTCCTCAGAACTGCTTTTTGTGTTTCGTTTGTTGTTCTTCCCCCGCACCTCCGATTAGCACGGTTGGCTGCGTACGGTGCGGAAAAAAGTTCAACGTGCGCACGTACGTACAATGATATCCGGCTGGTGAGAAGGCCCGAGGAGCATTCCCGTATAAAACTCTGCGACCTCAAGAAGCTAGGTAACAGCTTCTCTCTGCCGCTACCTACGGTGGATTTAATGGGCGCTGACATCACAGGACACAAAGGCCTACTTTGTTTAAGTCGGGGCGAATGTAGCGACGCCGCGCCAATTGCTTTAATGTGTCTAAATGTGCGATTAACGCGGCTTTGCAACGGGGCATGGCGAGCCGAGCGTTTTATTGCGGTCGGCCACAAGCGCTTAAACGATGCCACGATGGCGGAACTCCCGTCACTGCGTGTAAATCTGCGGTTGCTCCCGTTCATCCGTAACGGTCCCAAACGTTGTTTCGCAGGCGGTCCAGATTAAAGCGTCTTCCCCTGCATCACGGCACCCAGCAACACCGATGTCACAGCCGTGATGTGACCGACCGTACAAACTAAAAAATAAAATGGGACGAAAAATTGTGGATGTTTTCTTTTTTGAAACACCTGTGTGTGCGTGTGTGGTGTGGCGTAGCGTTTAGCGTGCTGCTCTACGAAACCCAGCAACGCGACTTCGACTCCCAACACCAGTGACGATTATCTGAATCTGTCCTGGGCCTCCCTAGGTCGACTCAGCCTCAAATGAGTCCCTTGTGCGGTGTGTAGTAAACATCGCCACTGGGGAGACAAAGGCGGCCGGGCGTGGTGCTGGCCACCCACCCCGTCGTGTGCCGTTCCGGCCTTCATAGGTGCTCGCTAACGGCACTTGCCCCTACATTCTGTTAAGGCTGCACGGGGGATCTTTTTTTTCCTTCGATTTAAAATGTGTAATCATAC